CTGGGGCCCACAACCCAGAGCACGCGGCAGCCTGAGCGCGCATGGACTTGACTTGGCCAGGGGAACGCCCCAAGACCTCATGGCCCCGACCCCGCGGCCAGGACCCCAGGTTTGCACAGCTTGCTCGCTCGGCCGACAAGCCGAGTTAAAAAATGCACCTTCCTACTCTTTCGATAGGCGATAGCACGCCGCTGTCGCAACTTGCTCATGTTCCGGCGGAGACCTGCAGAAGACGTGACCCCCAGATCTCGGACCGAATCTCCCCGCTGAATAGGAAAGTTGACTGAGGCGAACATCTGCGTGATCTCGGCTCCGGGCTCTTTGTGGGAGACCAAAAGTGTACTTGTATCTGCAATGACTGTGCCAGCAGCCTCCAGCTGGCGGCGCATGTGCAATGCGGCAGGCACGAACGCGGCGAGGACCTCCTCGCGGGATCCTTGCTGCGTCTGAGTGATATCGCCAACGTATCCCTTGATGCGGACAGGCAGGAAGGAGGCGTGGGCCTGATCCAGTATGTCATACAAATAGATCTTAATCCACGACATGGATTGGCCACAGCCAGGCAAGATGCCCATTCCAGTGGGGATGAGGTCAGAACAGAAACCCTGGACCTCGAGGACACGAGGAGCTTCGTGCAGCACAATGCCCAAATACAGGAGGAGCAGGGGGTACCTCACCTTCACAGCGAGTCCAGCAAGGCGACAAGGGTCCACAGCATCAAACAACTTCTTAAGGTCCCAATGCGCCCCCACCGAGCACAACCCAAGATACCTGGCCATCTCGTGGCCGAGCTCTCGGCTAAGCGCAGCCTGCAGAGCCGAAGACCCTCGAATAGCAGTGTCCCAATGATTGACCTGGGCAAGGGACCAATCCTCAACATGGCTTCCACGAGCTTCGCAATAGACTCGGTACACAGTGGGACACTTGACGCAAGCCTTTCGCTCTCAGCAGACTTGGGCAACAGAGTAATGATGCCCAACATAATCTGCGTCGGCCACATGAGCCGACGCTCACAACTATTAAGCAGGTGGGTGCACGACTGCACCGCCTCAGACGGAAGGGAAACCAGCATCCGAAGGGGGCCGCTGACCCACGCCAACGGCCGTGTCCTCTCGGAATCTGAATACCGCCTGGTTCCAAAGGTTCAGGATCCTCCAAAGACTCCAGAGCCAAGGGTCTGAGGGCATCCAAAACCCCTGAAAGCTGCGCCCGCTGGCCCCCTTTAACCTTCCAGAATTTACCCCAAAAGTCCTCGCGGCATCTCATCATCTCCTCAGGGAGCTGATGCACGTCAGCTGGTGCTACTAAAACTTCAAGATCAGCACCTCGGCCGCGCCGAAGCCGCGAGTGAACGCGCTTGGCGCCTCGCGGCAACGCCCTGAGGAGCCGCTGCTTCATGCTGGCCTTAGTCTCCGCACGAGCAGCGCTCCACGCCTTAGTCAAGGCGGTGCTGATCGCATCGATCAGCACATTGAGATCACCCAGACCCTGGGGCAGGCTAGACAAATGAGCCCGCCACCAATCAGGGGCCCGAACATCTCCTGCTACAGGAAATTCAGCAACCCGAGGAGCAAGGCCAGCTAGGATACCCCTGAGGATGGAAACCGACGTCCACGAACGTTTAGCAATAGACAAGCGATACCCCCAACACTTCTGCGAAACATGGGCCCAGAAACAGAGCGAAGGTTGCCGAAAGCTTTCTCCAAACCCCTCGTCGTCCAACTTCCCCGAATTTGAAGGTAGGGCGCGCTCCTCTGGAACCTTCAGGAGGGGCGAGTTCCCACGCCGAGGCCCTGGACAAATACATCTTCTCAGTGGCCTCGCTCCACATCGAGTATTGCAGCGAGAGGTCAGACGACAAATCATCAGACACATGCGGCGACAACTTCTCTGTCAAAAAATGAAGGGGGAGAATTTCATGCCCTGCCACCTGCTCTAGATACTGGGGCCACGGTAGGTCGGGTCCAAAGCATGGCGGGAAGGAAGGTGCACGCTGACGCCGCCACAGCTCTTGCTCGACCACTGCACAGGCCAGAGACACCGCTAGGCAAGCGTGAATCTTGAACGGGGAGGGGTCATGTTTAGCCACACGCAGGTAATCAGCAATATCTCCGGAGGCCACCACGTAATATATCAATGATCCCCTCCCTTGACTACAGGCAAGCTCGACTCCTTCAGGTGGGATGGCACGAGCATGAGACAGCTTAGGAAAACCACTCAAGTCCAGACTGGCGACCGGGATGTTAAAGTCGCCCTTGAGGGTGCAGGGGGTAGTAATGGTGCCCACGAACTCAGCGGTCCCACGCAACCGATCTATATTCACCCCACTTACACCAAGGCCGTCATCTAAATAGCAGACGCCTACAGCAAGAACAGCTTGCTTGGTTTTAAACTGCAAAAAGAGCCAGTGGCTTCCAGAGCCCTGGTCCAGGAGGGACGAATCCGACGACAGGAAACGCCGAAAACAAAGCCCTCTACTCACTACGGCCCCAACTCCCCCGTGGTGAAGGCCCCCTTCCAGGGGAGCGAGTGGCAGGGGTGAAGTGGGGCCGCCACTTCATCTGATTACACTTCGGTTTAGCGAGCTTACAGGCATCGGTGAGCATCCGATGCTCGCAAAAGAAGAAACCATCACAGATCGGTTTCACTTCCTGGGCAAAAGACAGTGAAACCGCATTCCAGCTCGTGGCATTACAGAAAAAAACTCGACTGTGGTCGGCGCTGGCTGCAGGCAGTGGCGACTCAGGGGCCTGCTAGGCCTCACGGCGCCTTCAGCACCTGATCCTCCAGCTTGCTCAGGGCTAGGAAGACTGCACTCGTTCACCTGCATCGCCAGCACCCGCAGCTCCCACGCCTCCACCTGGTACAGCTCCTGCAGCGGCATGTGCAGGACCTCCACTTGGTTCTCCCACGACAGCGGGCCCTTGTCCTCCACCTGGAACGGCACCCACTCGCGGCTGGAACTGCTGCAGCATGCGGTTGAAGGAAGCCGTGGCATCAGATCGTACCACACGAGCACGCTTGGCCGCCTTCTGGTTGGCCTGCTTGCATAACAGCTCCTCAAACCGATCTCGCTCAGCCTCCTGCAAGGGCTGTTCGATGGCACGCTTCTTGGGTTCACGTAGCTCGTCGAGACGATCTGCACCCAAATCAGAGGCAACATCAGACATCTCATCATCATCATCACGCTCGAGGGCGACGCGCATCTGCTGCGCCGCTTGCCAGAACTGGAACTGCTGATCATGTAGCTGGCACCACGCTCGAAGTTCTGGCTCACCCATGGCGGTGAAGTTGGGCGGCGGCTGCGGCAGCGAGCCAGAGCCAGCAGCGCCGCCACGAGCGCCACCCACCGCAGCATGTGCAGGCACTTGCGCAGGAGGCTGAGGGCCAGGCTCCGCCCGTTGCGCGCCTCCGCCAGCAGGTGCAGCCGCGCCAGCAAGGGCCGCAGCCGCAGCGCGACGCCTTGCTGCGGCCACGGCTTCGGCCGGGCGGCGCTCCTCACGCCTGCACTCCTCACGGTAGGCCTCGGCAGAGAACAGCTGCTTGGCCTCCTGCGCAGCTCTTGTCTCCTGCTGGCACTGAGCCAGTCCCTCCACGGCTGAGGCATGGGCCGCCTCCGCTTGCTGAAGGGCTTCACGATACTTGACAGCGGCTGCCAGGCGCGCCTCCACCTCGGTCTGGGCGATCCGCTCTGCCCGCGCCGCCGTCTCGACCTCCTCGGACAGCTCCGTCTGGCGTGCCGCCACCTTCTTCTCCAAATCATTCGCACTGAGGAGGAGGAGGAGGAGGAGGAGGAGGAGGAGGAGGAGGAGGAGGAGCAGGAGGAGCAGGAGGAGGAGGAGAAGGAGAAGCGGATGGCGCCGAAGCATGGTGGGCTAGAGCCAGCGGCGCGACACGCTACGCACACGCTCATGACCGTGAGGTAGGCCGCAAGTGTCGAAAGTAGCGTGTGCCTGACTCAAGCGGGCGGCAACTGAGGCCGCCCAGGTAGAAGCGGGCCTCTGAGCGGCCCAGCACAGGGTCACGAATGGATGCCATGAAGCTGGAAACACACGCGGCTAGACTAAGATGTAGAACATCCGGAGGCCATGCGCTGCATGCAAATTCGCAGGGCAGGCGTACCCTGCCATAGGAAGGCCCGTCGAGGGAGAAACGTATGGCAACTTGTGTATCTAGCTCTCGCCTCAGCTGGCCGCGTCATGTCTATCCAGCTTCCTGGCATTACGCAAGACATCCAGACGTCAGCTGGCGAAAATAGCGAGCCTCATGACTGGGAACCTCGTTCCACCCACTCCACAAAAAAACGACCCTCAGATGGGCCGTGATTCGTGCAGCTATGCTGCAGCGTACGTTCGAGCCAATGACCACCCCTATCAATGGCGATCGTGTCTTTCGGCTGCTTTCAATTTTTTCCCCGTCGCACATACGTACTGTACGCGTGCTCTGGTCCCACTTTCTCGCTACAACGCGCGAGTGGATGCAACGAGAAGGACGAGGAGTAATACCCGCACGAGTCGCCCAAATTGTCGACCATCCCATCTTTCCTGCTGCACTGACTCTGGGAAACCTACAAGTCCTTCCCCTGCCCTTAACCATCATTACCAGCAGCAGCAGCATCGTCATCCTCCTCCTCATCATCAGCAGCAGCACCAGCATACTCATTAGCAGAATCATCATCATCACCATCAATATCACCATCACCATCACCATCATCATCACCATCATCATAATCCTCATCATCATCGCTACCAACATCGACATCAGCATCCTCATCCTCATCCTCATCATCCTCATCCTCGGCCTCATCCTAACCCTGATCATCAACGACAACATCATACTCATCCTCATCTTCATTCACATCCTCACCGTCATCATCATCATCACTCATCATCATCAGTCCTACACTTGCTCCACCATTCCTTCCACCCTCTCCCAAAATTTCCCGTCCTCCCCCTCCGCTCCTCTCTCCCTCCAGAGGGAGGGTGGCGTAGAGATGCGTCCTGGTTCCGGAACGCCTGCTTCAGCGTGTACCCTATGGGCACCGGCGCCCGGTTTTGGTGCATGCACCTTGGGTGGCGGGCCGTCGGCGGGTACGCAAGCGCTGGGAGCGCCTTGACAGTGGGCACACCGGCGTTGACCTCTCTGGGGGGTCTGCCGTCACTTCCGCCAGCCTCCGCCAGGCTTCCGCCGGCGAAGCCACCAATGCTTCCTTTGTCAACCTCCGCCAGCCTCCGTCGCGGCGAAACCGGCCCCTCACGGAACGCCTCCGCATGTCTCACAGGCTGCAAGACAGGGCTAACTGATGTGGCGAAAGCCGATCTGGTTGGCCGGCACCCGCACTGTCCGCTGACCCATCCCTCCCCCTCCTCTTCCACCTCACCTTCGCCCTCCACCCTCCCCCCTCTCTCTCTTTCTCTCTTTCTCTCTCTCTCTCTCTCTCTCTCCCCAACACCAGGTCTTCCTCAACATCAGCAGCAAATGTATTACCGTCATCGTCGTCATTGCCAGCCTCCTCCTCCTCCTCCTCCTCCTCCTCCTCCTCCTCCTTCCTCCTCCTCCTCCTCCTCCTCCTCCTCCTCCTCCTCTTCCTCCTCAGCAGCAGCAGCAGCATCATGATCATCGTCACGTTACCACCACCATCATCACTGCCACCTGTGTCATTACCATCATCACCATCAGTATGTGCGAGCGCCTCGGTGGCCGCGTGATTCTCTGCAGGTCCACCCCTGCAGGCCAACCCAATTCTCCTCATGCGTGCGGCTGCTCATGGCGACCAGGCACAGCTCGCAACGGTGCTCGGATCGCACGTCAGGGCAGCCTAGATACAGTCATGCAGCCCAGTACTTGGAGCTTCTAGCCGGAGGCTGCGGCACAGAGCCCGACGCGAAGCTGGACGAAGGAACTGCGCGACGGCAACGACGGAGGCCAGCACCACGGCACGGACTGACGAGGCGGGGGCCGCGAGCTCGGCAGTGGTGCTAAAGCTTTGCGCCATGACCGACGCCACACAACGGCCAGGAGACGGAGGAGGAGGAGGAGGAGGAGGAGGAGGAGACGGCTAGGAGGAAGGGGACGGCCATACTGGAGGCGCTTTGCCAGCGCCTCGTGACGGCGGATGGGCTGGATGCCAGCGGCAGCTCCGACCCCGCGCTCTGCCCGAACAGCACGAACGCCTCAATCTCAGCGGGCGAAGAACGGTATAACATTGACTTTCCAGCCGCCCAGGGACAGGCGCCCCCGACAGCGAAAAAGTCTATGTTATACCGTTCTTCGCCCGTTAACAATCAGGAAGCCGTCGACCTGGAGGTGCGAGGTGCGCCTGCAGGAAGCCGCGCCCCAACGGAGGAGGCGGGCCGCGGAGGCCTGCTAGCCCAAGGCCGAAGCGCTCGCTGGAGGCACACACACACACACACACACACACCACGGCCACCGGGCGGACGGCGAAGCAGCTGGCGGAGCTTCGGGCGGCGCTGCGGGCGGCACGGCGCGGGCGGCAGGCGCAGCAGCAGGCCGCGTGGCCCGCCCTGCTCCCAGGGCTGCGAGCGCAACTTGGACGGAGAGGGCACCTGCTCGGAGAGAGCGGCGGGGAGGAGCCCACCCAGGGGGGGGGGGGCAGGTGAGGGCGAATGCCATGTCCCCAGTTGCCCAGCCTGCGCGGCGCGCCTACCCCAGGGGGCCCATGGCTCGAAGGACCTCGGAGGGCTTCCTGTCAGACGCCGCGGTCGGCTGCGGCGCGCAGCAGGCACCACCGCGGTGCGCACGGCGAGCCCGCGGGCCACACAGTGGTGTGCGGCGGCTAGATGATAACCGCACCGCCCCTCCACCCTCTGCGGGCACCAGGCCGGAAGCGCTGGTCGAGTACTCCAGGCTCGGAGGGCGGCAGCGCCTCTCGGGGGCCGGGTGCGCTCGCGTCCCAGGGGCAAAGGACCCCCCCCCTGGAGCTGGGCCGAGGCAGCAGCGAAAGCGAAGATCGCCGGCCACAGCTTGCGGGGCGCGGGGGGGGGGGCGACAGTGCAGGCTGGGTCTGGGCCGCAGTGAAGCGCCAGCGGCAGCCCGCGCTGCTGAAGGGGCCGTGCGGCGCCTGCGCGGCGGGCGAGACGGCGCACAGTGCGTGCCCGTGGCGGGCAGCTGTCGAGCACTGCTCCAAACTTGGCCGCATAATGCCAACGTGTCATGCTCGTTGTCATAGTCATCGTCGTCATCGTCGTCGTGATCGTGGTCATCTTGTTCTTCATCAGCATCAGCATCATCATCATCATCATGGGTCATTATACACATCATCAGCATCATAACCGGAATCAACCATCCTCCTCATCATCCCCATCATCCTCATCATCATCATCATTATCACCGTCAGCAGCTGCAGCAGCATCCTCATCAGCACCATCAATCACCATCATCCCCAACATCATCATCATCATCATCATCAGCATCATCAGCATCATCATCATCATCATCATCAGCATCAGCATCATCATCATCATCATCATCATCATCATCATCATCATCATCATCATCATAATCAGCACCATCATCATCATCAGCAGCATCAGCAGCATCATCATCGTCATATTCATCATCACCCTCGTCATCGTCATAGGACTCGTCATCATTATCACCACCATCATCCTCCATCAACATCATCAGCATCATCATCATCACCATCATTATCATCATCATCATCCTCCTCCTCCTCATCATCATCATCATCATCATGATCATCATCACATCATCACCAGCCACAGCATCATCATGACCACCATCAACATCATTATCAACAACTGCAACATCATCATGATCGTCATCGTGCTCATCACCATCACCGCCGGCACCACCAATCATAATCCCCATCGTCAACATACTCGCCAGAACTGTTAAGACCCTCTCATCCTCATCATCAGCAGCAACAGCCTCCTCGGCATAATCATAACCATCACAACAACCACCAGCACCACCACCATCACCAGCATCATCAGCAGCATCACCATCATCTGCATCTTCATCACCATCATTATCGTAACCATCATTAAAATCGTCATCGCCACCATCATCACTATCATCAGCATCATCACCATCATTACCATCATCACTATCGTGATCATCATCCTCATCTTCGTCATCATCATCAGCGTCATCATCATCGTCAGCATCATCACCGTCATCATCATCAGCATGGTCATCGTCGTCGTCATCGTCATCGTCACCTTCATCACCAGCATCACCATTACCATCAACATCCCCAACATCATCACCATCACCGTGATCGAAAAAAAACATCATCAACATCAGCATCGTCATCATCACCATCGTCATCATCATCGTCGCCGTCATTATCATCGTCATCGTCGTCGTCATCGCCATCACCGTCCGCATCCATCTCCATGTGCCTTGTCCTCCCCCTCTCCTCCTTTCGTCCTTCCTTCCTTCCTCCTGGTCGTCCTTCCTCCTTTCCTTCCTTCCCCCCCCCTCCTAAGCTTCCACACCCTCCTCATCCCCTTCACCCCTTTCCCCCCGCCCCCCCGCCCCACTTGCCCACCATTACGATTCCCGTCCCATCACCTCCTCCCGCTGCCTTCCCAGGGTTCCAGAAACGATTGTGCCCGCCGATGCTGCCACCATGCCGGGTGGCGGCCCAGTCGCCTCTCCAAGTTCGAAGCCTGACTGGCCGCTACCATCCAGCGCTGGCGGACAAGAGGCGTGGACAGAAACGAACCAGGGGAGGGAAAGCGAGGAGGGCGAGAGAAGAGCACGAGGGGGAGCACAACTAAGAATCAAAAGTGGCTCGGCATTCTACGGTCGGGAACTTGTGGATAGCGTTGTGGATGCCATGGCAATGGACACTCTAACAGTCCAAGTAGTGCTTTATGTGGGCAACGCTGTTTCAAAACGTGTTGAAATACGCTGCAGCTGTCAACGGTTATAAAACATGTGTTAAACTTTTGTTGGCAACACGCCTCCTCTCCATTGACCGTCTTTCATAGGGATAGCGTGTCGCACGGCGGACCCGGCGACACGCTATGCCTTGCGAGTGGGTAGCGGCTCGCTCCGCTTCGCGGGGTGGGCGGTCGCTAAATACTCGGGCTGTTGACGCTGGGAGACTGGAAGTGGATAGCATGTCGCGCCGAAGCGTGGTCGACCAGAACCAGCGGAGCGACACGTCTTCCAGAAATTCCCGACCGTACGGGAGCCAGTGGCCACCCCCACCTCCACCTTGCGATCACACGAGATCGCGCAGTGAGAAGAACTCGGCGGACTTCAAGTTCCTGCCTACAATTGTACCGTGCTTTTCCGAAGATTGACCAGGAAACGATGTTCGACGCGGCTCCACTTCAACCACGTCCCTCTCTATTCTACGCAACAGTAAGGTTGGTTCGTGGCTTTGACATCCCGAAAACTGTGCTTGACCATGCTTCAGGATCTTCAAAACGGTTGTCTGCCCACGGGGCACTTCCCAGAGTGGAAATCAATCCTTGTGGGAGCCTGTGAAGAGGGAGCTCGGTGGGAGGGCGTATTCCAACATCGTTGACGGGTCTAGAGCTTACACTGCCCCACTCCTACTCCTCTTCCTCGGCCTGGGCCGCATCCCGTCTGATGCCCTCCCAGAAGCACTCGGGACTGCATCTGTTGACGCCATGGGCCACGCAGCCGCGGTCCCGCGTCCAGTTATCCGACTGCTTGTGGGTGGCGTCGAGCAGGGACTGCAACGCCTGACCCTTCCCCTTTCCACCTCCCCCTGGAGGAGACGACGTGGAGTGAGGAGGCGAGGGAGGAAGGAGGAGGAGGGGACGCAACGAGGGAGGGAGTGTAAGAAGGAGGAGGAGTGAATGAATGACTGAATGAATGAATGAATGACTGAATGAATGAATGAATGAATGAATGAGTGAATGAGTGAATGAATGAATGAATGAATGAACGAGTGAAGAAAGAACTACTGCATGAATGAACGAGCTCGTGTGGTCTTGGAAATCCAGCCAGACAAGCAGCGCTGGCCTCGCGACCGAAAAACTGGGGGGGGGGGGGGAAAATCCCTCCGAACCCCGCTGGGGGGTAACCGCGCGGCCCTCCACTGCGCTCGGCACCAGACAGCACAAGCCAGGCCCGCACGCAGCGAGCTCGGAGAGGCGGGCCCGGAGGCACGGGATGCCTCGGCTGTTCCCCCTCCGCCCGCGCCCACGTGCCCCCATACCGCGCCCTCGGGCCCCTCCCTCATCCCCTGGGCTGGGGGAACAGAAGTTCTGAAGAGCCTGGCAATGGTCTGTGGATGCGCGCGGGAACTCGGCCCCGTAACGACCCCAGCGCGACCTCAGGTTCACACAGTCGGGGCGCTGAACTAAGGAACCCTAAATAAGGAACGAGGCCCCTTGTTTCCATACATTACGCTTCGCCTTCCCATCGAAAGCCTAAGGACAACCTCGAAGGCAAACTGCAAAACAACTTAGGAACACCGAGCCCCTCCCAAACGGAAAGGGTTCCTCCTTCAGCGCCCCGACTGTAAGCTCGCCCGCTCAATTGCCCGATACGCTCTGTCCGACGGAAGGCTTCTGCGCTGCTCCGCCGTCGAGCAGCTTGCCGGCCTTTTGCGCTCGAGTGCCCCCCCCCTCGGGGCAGAGCCTGGGAGGGAATTTTGTCCCGTCCCCTCCTCCTGCATATGCACGGGCCTCTACTAAGACCGCCGGGCCTATACCGAGGGGTGAGTCCCGATTGAAAGGTCGTCAGACTATGGCCTGTGTTGCCTTGATCTCCCTATCGTGTTCTGAAGCTTGGGACGGGAGCAGGGGGCCACAGTGGGCCACACGAGCTATTGATTTCACCGGTGCATGTGTGATCTCTCCCCCACACGCATCTCTGACGTAACGCCTCCTTTCTTCACCTCCTCATCAACCTTCGTTGAGCCTCCTGCTGCTATTGTGAGGTTTCCTCTGTAAAGGCGGCTGGTGTGATCACATGGACATAGGGTTGGGCGGGTTGGGCTGGTCTTGAAGTCAAGCTCCTGGCCTCCTTGTTGGAACTCTCGGAGGCGCTGACCCCCGTTGTCACATAACTCTCATGCTCGAAGGAGAACCGCTGCCAACCGACAACATGTCGGGACGCCTCACTGAAGAAACGCGGACGACTGGATGCCCGCTGCCTCACGAGCAGTGGACAGGAGAGGTGCCCCCACGCCCTAGATGACCTGCTCGCCGCCGCCTCCGCCATTCTTCCCCTACCTGCTCCCCCGAGGGCCTCTTTCCCGTACCTTGCCGCTTTCCCTGGCCGTGTCCTCCTCTCCGTCGCGCATGATGCGCTTGCCCATGTTGAACCACGAGGGCGCGACAGCTCCATCGCAATCGCCGCCGCCGCTGCCGCCACCGTGACCAATGGGGCCAGAGGCTCCGATACTCACGGGGAGTTGGGAGCACAGCTGCGTACACAAGGCTTGTGGGCGCGGGCCCTCGCAGCCACATGCGGTACGCTCCAGGGACTTCGGCACGCAAGCTCCAGCCTTAGCTTTAGCCCTGAAGTGAGAGGGCCCAGGGGTCTGACAATGGCCACGCTCCGTTGGCCCCTGTCGATGTCAACCCGATATTCAACCTGCTCGCAGCGAAAAAAAAACAGGGGAGCAGTGGATGCAGACGCTGCCAGGGGTGAGGGTCGGGCGCAGATGTCTGATCGTCTCCGCGCGACTCGTCGGAGAAGCTTCAGCACAGCTAGCCCCACCCACACGCTTCATGCCACAGGCGACAGGCAGGGATGCAGGGTCGGCGGCCCGTAACCCGGCGGGGGGAGGGCATCTCAGAGTAGCAGCGGGCTCCGAGCTGTCCTGCTCCCTTCCCCCCCCCCTCAGTCGCCGCCGAACCGCAGTCACCGCCGAGGCCAGGTCACCCTGGCTTGCCGAACCCGAGGCGACGAGAGCTGGGCGGGCTCCGCGGCGAAGGCGGAGCGGCGGTGACGCCGGCGGCCGTGCCCTCGCAGCACGGCGAGCTGCGGAGGCGCCACACGCGCTGCTGCGGCTGCGGCGGCTGGCGCTTGGGCCCCTGCTGGAGCCGCCACATTGGGCTGTGGGCCCAAGCGTGCGGCGGAGGCAGCTCGACGACGAGTGGGCCGATTCGGCAGTCATGCGCTGCTCGGGGGCTGCTGCCTCGCCGATGGCGCCTGCGGCGCCTGCACTATCCTGCGGGCCCTGCCTTTCCTCTCGCACCTGGGGAGGGCCCGCCTGATCCCAGCGTTGGAGGGTGGACCTGATGGGTCGCGCTCGCACGAGGGAGACAACGACGAGAGATGCTCCGCCGCAAGCTGGCCGCCGTGACATCAGCGGGCACGCTGCGCCACCGAGCTCATGGCCGAGGGGCCCGTGCTGCTCTTTCTTGTCCTCGTGTTCGGATGCGGGTGAGCCCTTCATTCTTGGGGCTCTTTCGCCCACCGCCGCTGCCTGTGCCCTTCGGTCGGCGGATCCACATCCCGCCTGCTTTCGTAAGTTTTGCCTTACGACGTTCTCAGACGGTGGCGGTCCTCTTCCCGTTATCTTCCCTGCTTCTTCGCTTAATACACGTCCTCCATTTCTTCCTCCTCCTCCCCTCCTCCTCCTCCTCCTCCTCCTCCTCCTCCTCCCTGTCCACGCCTGTTCCTAATAGGTTACGCCTCCTCGTCTCGTCAGACCACCACGCGCGTCGTTAGGACGGGCGTTCTGCCTGTGACTTCCTCAGAATGCAAGACCCGAATCTTTCAAACTCCAACAATTACAAGGATGGAGGGCGCAGAGATTTCAAAATGGAGGTCGCGTCTCAGCGCCGCGCACACTTATCTGGAACGCTTGCAGCAATTGTAAATGACTGAGGGCGGTTATTTTCCTCTCGCCTTCGCAACGCTTGTGCTCGTCTTGGCCAGATACAGCAGTTACAAGGGTGAAGGACGATCCTGTTTTAACATTGGGGCTCGCGGGTGAATTCGCCCAAACAAAATCTAAACATGCCATACCTGTACGGAGGGAAGCCGGCTCATTTTCAAAATGGTGCTCTTCCCCGAAACTTCCCAGCAACACGAGATTCAAATTGTGCAACGACTACACGGATGGAAGGCGGCTCTTGTTCAAAATGCGGCTCTCGCCTGGGCCCCATCGGAGTTAACGACAAAACAACCGGAACGAATGCGACAGCTTCGCGGATATGAGGGCGCCTCCTCTCCGATATGGGGCTCTCGCACGAGAGCTCCGCAGACTTAGCAACCTTAACTACAAACCTCCCCACAAGATACACGGATGGGGGACGGCTAGTTGTTAAAAATAGGGCTCTCTCGCTGGACACCTCGATCAGCTGGACGACCCCACCTCAGAAAGAGCGCGTTCTGGGGACGCCTGGATATGGGGGGGGGGTCCGGAACCGCGCCCACCACCCCACTCCCTGGTTCAGGGGGGGGGGGGGGTCGAACCCGAAATGGGACGAATAAGAACCGACTAATCCCAATTCCAACCGTTCGCAGCGAATTGCAACCAGAAATGGGACCAATTACAACCACGGGATCTTCAGAAGTACTTCTTTCTTCTTCAGAAGTACTTTCTTCTTCAGAAGTACTTCGATTCCTTAGGATTCCTTAGGATTCCTTAGGATTCCTCAGGTCGAACCCCCCCAAACCAGGGCGGCCCCCCCCCCAATCAGGGAGGGGGGAAATTCGAAACTCCCGCCCCCCCCCCCGCGGGCTTGCGCCGGCGGCGGCTGTCCGCGCGGTTCGGGGAACGCCGACGAGGACGACGACTCAAGGGGGGGAGTACAGTCGGGGCGTTGACCTAAGGAACCCTAAATAAGGAAGGATGTCCCTCTTTTCCATAAATTAAACTTCGATTTCCCATACAAAAAACTAAGGGGAACCCGAGGCAAACCGTAAAACAATCAAGGAACACCGAGCCCCTCCCCAACGAAAAGCGTTCCTTCTTCAGGGCCCCGACTGTAGGGGTTCCAACCCTCCCTCCCCTTCCTCCAGGCGCCGACGACGACGACGACGAGGCCGACGACGACGACAAGTACGACGACGACGACGACGAGCACGACGAGCACGACGAGCACGACGAGCACGACGACGACGACGAAGACGACGACGGCGACGACGACGACGACAAGCACGACGAGCACGACGGCGACGGCGAAGACGACGACGGCGACGACGGCGACGACGCCGACGGCGACGACGGCGACGACGACGCCGACGACGACGATGCCGACGATGACGACGGCGTCGCCGCGTCGCCGCTGTCGACGCTGCCAGCCGCCGTTCCGTTGCCGCCGCCGCCGCCGCCGGCGCCGGGGGAAGGGGGGGGGTGGTCGGGGAGGGTTCTGTGCGACGGCGTCGAATGTCGGGAGGGGGGGAGCCCAATTCAAACGCGCCGCCGAGTGTTCCCAATGCAAGGGCCCGTGAAACGAGCTGCCTCCCACATGCCCATCGGTCGGAAGGAGTAGGTAGAAACATGAAGTAGGAAGGCGTTGAAAGTAGACTTGGTGTCCGCCCGCCCACTAAAGAGGACGGATAAGGCGAAGCCACTCGATCAGTGAAGTAGGAAAGAAAGAAGCTGAACGTAGATTGGAATCTGGGAATTCCAAAGATGCCTACTTTCAACGACCGATGGGTAATCACCCTCGTAAGACATCGATGGAGGTGTGCTGGGCAAGTCCTTTTCAAAACGGGGCTCTCGTCCGAACGGCATACCCATCGGGCGCTCGTCCGTCAAGGGGGCGCTTCTCTCGTGCAGCAGCAGGGGAGGCTTGAAGGAAGTGATGGGGAGGGAGTCTCTGGGAAGGAGGATGTACAGTCGAGGCGTTGACCTAAGGAACCCTTAATAAGGAACGAGGCCCCTTTTTTCCATAAGTTCAACTTCGATTCCCCATGGGAAACTTAAGGAACATCTTAGGCAAGCTGCGAAACAAATACGGAATACCGAGCCCCTCCCCAACGAAAAGGGTTCCTTCTTCAGCGCCCCGACTGTATGGCAGCATCGTTGATGCGCCTTGCGTTTCCCCTTGCCTCCGCCTCCTC